GCGTGCAGTTTGGGCGTGGAGACGACTATGGGCGTGGAGACCCCTGCAGGCGTGGAGGCCAGCGACGGTGAACTAGGCAGCCCTGGAGTGACGGGCGTCTCCAAGGTGCGGTTCTCCGTGCCCTCCATGGAGTTTGTCTGGGAAGCCGACCGTGACGGTAAGTGGGAGACGCACTCGCCCTCCCCTAACATACATTTGTATTTATTTTTTATATTCAGAGTTCATATGATATGAAGGCAAGTGGCGTTTGAAAGGAAATAGTGTAGAGTTGAATACAAGTTGGCGAGAAATTGAATTGAAATAAGTTTATTGAGGTAAAATACCCACAAAGGGATGAGGTAGCTCAAGCTATTCTCACCCCGTTCAGTACATCGTGTTAATACATACATAGACACACATCACAAGCAATAAACATATTACCAAACATTCTGAGAGATAAACATATACATTTCCTCCTTTACACAAGTTGGCGAGAAGTCTTGGGCTGGTGTTAGGTCGGGCAGATAAGTATCAAATACATACCTGCACCAAATACAAGTGTGTGAACAGGTGTGTTTATTCAGTGCTTTGTGTAGTTATCGTAGGGACGCAGATCATTTGATTCATCTTGTTATGATGAGTACCCACATCCTAAGTACCACTGTTTTAAAGAAATAGTACTGAAATTAGGCCCCCCCCCCTAGGCAGACAGGTATATAATTAGGTGTATTTTACCGAGTTTAATGAGTGTAGGTGTTGATGGAGCAGGTGTTGGTGTAGCTCCTGGACCTTCTCACTTGCCTCGATGACCCACTCATTCATCAGCCCCATCCCCCCCCCTACCCCGGACCCACTACCCCCTGCACCTGGAGGAGTGCCTGTGTAAGTCTCCAGATTGTACCGTTGGTACGTATGGTACCATCACCAACCCGGCTTGTGTGTGTACCGGCACTCCACTCTTTCTCCTCCCCCTTGGCTTCCTGCATTATTCCTTCCTCTCACTCCTTCCTTACTCTTCGTGACATGGCCAGGAGCAGTCACTGAAGACTGCCAGGCTGTCGTAACTATATGGCCCATCTCTGCAGGTTTTAATTACTAGTGTCCCCCTTAATCCAGCCTTACTACATCAATACACAGTAGGCTAATCGCAGAGGTGTATACTAGGTGGTACAGACGATTATTGTGGCACTCTTGGAAGTGGTGTAGGTGCAGCAGGTGGACTACATGGGGTAGTATAGGTGGAGTCTTAGGTGGTTAGAATACATGGAATGGTGGCAGGACAAGGTCAAGGCGAGTAACTAGTGGTGATGTGAGCCGTGTAAGGTAGCAGCTAGCCGGAGCTTCCCGCCTCCTCCTCCCCGACGGTCTCCATCACCACTCAGGTCACACACTGTCTGCTCCTCCTCCGTTTCCTGCCCCAGGTGACCTCTTCTTCCCCCAACCTCGTCTCCATAACGCCAGCCTTTGTGGCACTGGAACAGTATGATCACTGGGCTGGTGCAAGGCTGCCAAGGGTGAGTCTAACATAAAGAGACACTAGGCTTCTTGCCCGAGGCTGGTGTGTGTGTAGGCACAGTGTGTAGTGGTGAGATTCAACGTGGCTACCCGGTTGTCACCATCCGGTGCTGGTACTGTAGTGACCATTCTCTCCGGTGCAGGCGAGGAATACACAGTGACCTGTGTTGATCCTGTGACAGTTGACAGTGACCTGTGGTGGGTATGTGGGCCTGCGGGCCGCTCCAAGCAACAGCCTGGTGGACCAAGCTCTCACAGGTAGAACCTGGCCTCGGGCCGGGCTTGAAGAAGACGGTGCGAGTATTTCCTTAGATTTCTTACATTTTTTGGGGCATTTCCAGCTTCCACCTATGTTATGGTGTGAGGGGAATGTTGTTGTTATATGGGGGGGGGAAGGATATCTGGGAAGATAGTTTAGAGAGGCGAGAGTTGGAGGGAGGGGGGGGGGTCACAGCCACAAGCAGGGGGGGGGGAAGAGGGGGCAGCAAGTTTCTCCCGGGGTCACCTGGTGGCCACAGAAAGCTTGGTGGTGTAGCCTAATACGGCAGAAACATGGTCAACCTCTCCCAGCTCTCTACACGGGTCACAGTCAAGCATAGGCCAGGCTGGTCCGTCACGGGACCTCCTCCAGGCAAATGTCGAGAACAGGGCCGGCTGGCGGGGGTGGACCGCGGGCAGGTTCTAATTGAGCCTATTAACGAGTTGGCGTGCAGGCTGGAGGTGTCGGGGCAGCGTTAGCCAGGGACGTGAGGTGTCGTGGCAGCCTACTATGCCACCTGCGGGGTACACGACCATCACAAGACATATGGTGCGCCGGCTGACTCCAGCCTCACACTGACCTGACCTCGGGCTCACTCATGCCTCGCGGGGAAAGTGTCCGGGTGGTGAGGGAGGGGGGGGAGGTGGTGAGGGAGGGAGGGAGCACCCAGCCCCGTCTCCACCAGGAGGTACAGTAATAAAGCCGTCTGTAACTAGTTACTTTAATTGCGTTTAGTTACGTAATAATTTATATATAAATAAAATAATAAATCAAATAAACTAATGTAATATAAATTATAATATAAATAGTATACATGCTGCTATGGCGGTAACTCACAAGATAAGTGGCGCTGCCCAGTTAATTTATTTTAGTTACGTTTGTAACTAGTTATTAGTTAGATTAGTTACTGGTGTAGGAAGCCTTGTGCTGGAGAGTGAGCACGTACATAATATCGTGGAGGCTGGGTACAAGAACACGTATCTTGGCAACACTCAAGTGTTTGTATTAGTCAAGGCTGAGTGTAGCGCTACACGATATGTTAGAACACAAATGTTTCTCTATTGTTTATAAATACAAGAAAGCATGGCGAGGTCTTCATTATATTTTACGAGGTCACCATAGACCGTGCTACATGGATACTTCGTTCTGAGTAGCTAAATCTGAAACAACAACAAACGTCTTCATTATAGTAATGAATTGAATTCATTGAATTCTCCATTGAATTCTCTCGTTTAAAGTCGTGGCCACACGACTAGGCCTCCTAGTTGGTGGTGTGATCAAGCAGGCTGTTCCTCGGAGGGTGTGCGCCAGGTCACTCACACTTGAGGGCCATAGCTAGCAGCAGCCATCACCCCACCCGACACGGTGTATGCGTGTGTGCGTGCGGAGAGGGATTTTGGTCTACTCAAAGCCGAATAGCGGTTGAGAGGAATATCTCAATCCACTGTTTGGCCAGTGGATAAAAGACAAACTAAGTGTGTGTGTTCTTCTCCAGGGGAATGAGCCATTACCCCCACCCTGATCCCCCGGGTTGACCTGTCATCTTGCGGAGTCAACCAAGGTAGTAAACATGAACCAAACATAATGTTTGTGCCACTGATCTCGTAGTTACGGCACCAGTGTATTTACAACCAACCAGATAACCACTGTTCACGCACTACAGAACTACCTTACATCCCTCTGTCTTGTAAGGTGGTGAGACAAGCTAAAGGAATTGTCAGAAGACAGGAAACACTGTCACGCTCAGAGAGGCGTCAGGCTGGGGGAGGTGTCGCAAGTGGGATCCTTCAAGGCTCATGGGGCCTTGCCTTCTTGCTTCTCCTAATCTGTGTGTACCTCAACTCGGCGCTCTCCACTACAGCTCCGTTGGCCAGGCACATCTTGCAGCAACTTGTCAAGGTGTTTGTTGAACACGTTCACTTTTGTTCCAGTATTATTTCTTGTTTGTTGCACCTGTACAGTGCGCTCTGTGAAGGGCTTAACCTGGGGGCAGGGTGCGTGGATGCTAGTGTTTACTGGCATTATAGTAGTAATAATAGTAGATTCTAATTATAGTAGTCTGAGGGTTGCAGTGTTCTGGAGACCTTGTTGAGCCCCAGCGAGTGTGAGGTAATGATGGGGAAGATGGGTGGTCAATAACAGCTATGGAAATGGTGATGTGTGTGTGTCTTATTGACCAACCAGTGCGAGTGGTCAATATTGTGGGGCTGTTTGTCAGGAGTCCAAACAGCTACATCTCTCTGCCTGTACACATTGGCAGGCAAGCACTCGCAGATGTCTTTGGTGCTTGTGAGTCCCTCGTACCATCCATGCCCTCTAAACTCTTTTCTGTTCACGCTCACCATTAAATATTTACCAACTTGTATAAATTTCTGAATCATCTTGCATGATGAAATCGGCAGCTGGCGCCTCTGATGTTTCTCCCGCACGGCGAGGTCGGCACCCTTCCTCAGAGCTCGGTACCCCTTTACCTTCACAGTGTTGGTAGTGGTGCTTGAGCAACTCTCCTGTTGCTCTAACACAGCAGTGCTTTGGTGAGGTTTTAATATCGTTGTGCGCGGTGGGGGAAGGTGCGGCTGGCGTTGGTCTGTTGTTCGTCAGGTAGGGAGTCTAACAAAGGGGGTATATGTTCTCTTAGGAGGCTGTATACCCCTTTGATGTGGCCGTGTGTGCCCGTGTACCTGTCAGTGACTAAGGGGGAGTGAGGAGGGCTCTTGATGCCCCGCCTACTACTAACCTTGTTGTACCTGTTGCGTTATAGCTTAACTATGGACATTCCAAATATTTGTTTAGCCTGTCCTTAAAGTTGTGGGTGGAGGTGGCTTCCACAACTTCCTTCAGTACATTCCACTTGTTACCATCATATCTCCTCAGTTTCGTCTGTGCTCTAATGTTATGAGGTCCAGTTCCTTCAGTCTAGCCTCATAGCTTTAGCCCTCATGGCTCTGGGACTCGTGTAATTGAGTTCCAGGCCGGTGCTGCATACTCCAGTACTAGTCTAACAAATACTGTAGAGATGTTCTTGAAAAAATCCTAATTTAGGTTTCTAAACGACGTTTTAATGTTCACCAGCGTCCCTGTGTGTGTGTGTGTGTGTGTGTGTGTGTGTGTGTGTGTGTGTGTGTGTGTGTGTGTGTGTGTGTTCACTTCAGGAACTCCTGCTGTATTATTTATTAAATCTTGTATAATTACGTGTTTGTTCACAGTAAAGTGGAGGTGGGATAACTCCATGTGTGTTGTGTTGCAGGTGGGAAGAAGGTGACGTTCCTGGTGGGTGGTGACGGGGAGCCAGTGGTGGTGGTGCTCGGGGGAGCCAAGGACGACGTCGACACCATCCTCCAGGAGAGGGCCAGGCGCCAGGCAGAACTCGAGGCCGACCTCATCAAGTAGGTACTACTGTCTTGTGCTAGAGGTTGTCACGGTGAGGGGGGGGATGTAGGGAGATGAGTAACCCCCTATTCCTCTCCTTGCTGTGGTGTGGCTGGTTGGGGGGGAGGGGGGGCTGTGTTGAGGGGAAGGAGGTTGAGGTTTCTGTCAATACAACAGTCACCTGTATTGACAGGTGATTGTTGTGGTAGACAGATGGTGGTGGTAAGCCAGCATACCGTCCCTCGCCAACACCAAACACACAGACCAGGCCTCTCCTTGGGAAGTGCCGGGGTGTAACAAAAAGGAGGCCTGGTCGAGGACCGGGCCGCGGGGACGCTAAGCCCCGAAATCACCTCAAGATAACCTGACTGCAACAGTTCACCCGTGTACCGTCAATCTCTACTTGTTATATGTACTGTAATTTCTTGAGGATGATTTAACACCACCTCACCCCCATACCCTCTTCATAAGCTTCCATCCCTCCCTTCTTTCTCCTCCCTTCTTTCCTCCTACCTTCTTTCCTCCCGCCTCTCTCTCCTCTATCTCCTTAGGTATCGTGCCAGAGGTTGTCTGGAGTGAGAGAGAATGGGGAGGGGGGGGGGGGAGGGGGAGGGGGTGCTTGGTGAAATGTCGACCGTAATACCTAAAATGCCACAGTGACGTCAGCACTGTTTTCACAATGACGCCGAGCCTGGGAATGCCTACCCATCTGGAGGCTCCCTGGTGCCCGGGGGCTAGTTTACCAGTGACCAGGAGCCATACCTACCCATCTGGAGGCTCCCTGGTGCCCGGGGGCTAGTTTACCAGTGACCAGGAGCCATACCCACCCATCTGGAGGCTCCCTGGTGCCCGGGGGCCAGTTTACCAGTGACCAGGAGCCATACCCACCCATCTGGAGGCTCCCTGGTGTCCGGGGGCTAGTTTACCAGTGACCAGGAGCCATACCTACCCATCTGGAGGCTCCCTGGTGCCCGGGGGCTAGTTTACCAGTGACCAGGAGCCATACCTACCCATCTGGAGGCTCCCTGGTGCCCGGGGGCTAGTTTACCAGTGACCAGGAGCCATACCCACCCATCTGGAGGCTCCCTGGTGCCCGGGGGCTAGTTTACCATTGACCAGGAGCCATACTCACCCATCTGGAGGCTCCCTGGTGCCCGGGGGCCAGTTTACCAGTGACCAGGAGCCGTACCCACCCATCTGGAGGCTCCCTGGTGCCCGGGGGCTAGTTTACCAGTGACCAGGAGCCGTACCCACCCATCTGGAGGCTCCCTGGTGCCCGGGGGCCAGTTTACCAGTGAGTTTACCAGTGACCAGGAGCCGTACCCACCCATCTGGAGGCTCCCTGGTGCCCGGGGGCCAGTTTACCAGTGACCAGGAGCCATACCCACCCATCTGGAGGCTCCCTGGTGTCCGGGGGCCAGTTTACCAGTGACCAGGAGCCATACCCACCCATCTGGAGGCTCCCTGGTGTCCTGGGGCCAGTTTACCAGTGACCAGGAGCAACACGCACGCAAATGAAAAGACAAACACATGGAAATGAATACATAATGGTTGGCCCTGAAATCATTACTCCAGCTGAGCATCCTGTCCTCTCCAACCGTGGGTGTGAGAAAGATGTGACATACACTGTGTATTTGTTGCATTATTTATTTAAATAGGGATTTATTACCTCCTTGACACATTGTAACACCCTCGATGGGGACAGGAAGCAGGCTGCTTGTCAAAGGTCCCCCCTGCTCCTGTCCTGCGAGTGATTTGGAGCCGGCTCTTCAATATAATCGGCGAGGTCTTAGGCTTGCTTGGTAGTGTGAGAATATATCCAAGTAGTTGAAGGTTGTGTGTACATTATGTGGGTGAGGAGCTTGGCAAGGAACGGCCAGCGTGGGGTAATAAGTTATCGCAAGAGTACGCTTCTTGCACGACTGACTCTGGCCATATTCGGCCACCTGGATGTGCGGCCGGTTTAGCCGGATTCAGTTCCCAAACACGCCTTCCTGGTTGCTATAGAAAACTCTAGTATCTTGTAAATACGTTTCTTTGTGTGATTTTGTAATATTTTAAACTTATTCTTAGGAAAGGAGTTAATACAGGCGGTGAGTCACAATAACGTGGCTACAGTAAGTTGACCAGACCACACACCAGAAGGTGAAGGGACGACGACGACGTTTCGGTCCGTCCTGGACCACTCTCAAGTCGATTGAACGTCATCGTCCCTTCACCTTCTAGTGTGTGGTCTGGTCAACAAAGGAGTTAATGTTTGCATGTGGTTACCAGCTGTGACGACGAATGTTTTGGTTGATGATTGTACACTGTCACCCGCCTGTCAGAGACGAGGCGTTGATACCCAACAAGCCAGTGGCGGGAAGGGTGGTAGTGGCGGCCACAGCCTGCACTGTGTCAAGCTGGCCTGCCCATCCACGCCCGCCCCTCCGCCCCAGACTAAACATGACAGTTGTGTGTATAATGTAATCTAAATATGAGTGCCCAGTACCCGCTTGCAACAGAGTTGAGTGGTGGGCGTCGGTGGCTGGGTCCTGGTGGGCATGGGTACGGCCTCCAACCAGACACAAGTCAATTGGAATACGGAGCTGGATAATGCAGTGTGATTCTAAGTTTCTTGCTAGGGCAGGACCCATAAGAAGGTAGAGAGTGAGACCTGGTGTTAGGGCGGGACCTGGTGTTAGGGCAGGACCCGGGACGCAGGCGGGGATAGCGAGGAGCCTACAGCCTGGTTGTGGTTGTAGAGTTCCGCTGGGTTTGTGCAGGGAACTGGAAGCCAGGTGGTATTGGTTCCATAATATCGTAGCTATATGTGGTGCATGCATTATATGCGCGCGCTCCCACACTCGGCATTGATTGTGATGAAGCTGCGTGCACAGTGCCGGATTATCTATTAGGAATAGTGCCTAGGGCCTACGAGATAATAGGTACTTACGAAAAATAGAGATCTTTTCACCCCTTTTTTACAGAATAATATTGTAGAAAAATATCTTATACATAATGATAACGAGGGGCTTTTTAAATTTATTTCTTAATCCTATTTTTATCTATTTGTTACTTTATTATTTCCTATAATATTCTATTTAGGCACATTACTTTCACCTACGACTATAAAGTATAGAAGGAAGTTGTTACAAAGAGTACACAATTTTTGTTTTTTTTTTGTTTTAATTTTTTTCCTGAAATATCATGTACGAGGTATATATAATCAGTGGGGAATGTTTTAAGATGTACTCTAAATGCAGTCCAAGCTGGCCTCGTATAGGTGGGTTAGGTCCAAGCTGGCCTCGTATAGGTGGGTTAGGTCCAAGCTGGCCTCGTATAGGTGGGTTAGGTCCAAGCTGGCCTCGTATAGGTGGGTTAGGTCCAAGCTGGCCTCGTATAGGTGGGTTAGGTCCAAGCTGGCCTCGTATAGGTGGGTTAGGTCCAAGCTGGGTTCAACAACTGAACCCATTCCCACAATTCATTTAGCAAGTAAAAATTTGTATGAGTTAGATGATTATTTCACATATCTTCTAACTCATTTGTATCAGAAGATGTAATTTGGTGTTGGAGTGGACGCTTGTGAGGACCAGGACTCCCCAAGCGTGTACGTCACCACTTAACTTACCTGTACATCTGTTGTTTATGATTCACCTTCTAGGAATAAAAAGTTCCAAGTAGCACGGGCTATGGTGAGCCCGTAGTGGACTTACCTGACACAGGAGCGGGGCTGTAACTGCTGTACATCTTCCTCTCAATCATATATTAAACAGTTTACGAGCTGGGACACGCTGCGAGGTCGCTCTCGACCCAAGGTTGTTATGGACAAGCTCGTAGCGCCTCGGAGCTCGTAAACTGTTGAATAACTTGACCTTGCCAAGACGTGGCAGCTCCTGTATACACCCTCCCCACACGCGCCACGGTCAAAACAAACAATAAACCTACACCGGCAGCTGTTACATATAATGAACGATGACACACAACACTTGTGTGTTGCTGATAACATCATTGACGTGAAGGCGTTGACGTGCGTTCTTGTTGACGTGTACATTGACATGCCGAAACTTAGACATTAATTAATACAAATCTAAAAGACATCTTTTGAGCGTGAGAAAATAAAGCAAATGGAATGTACCCGAGGGAATGGCGTGACACAAGCTTACATGGTTTTATGGTAACTGAAAAGGTCTGATTAAATTATTAATTACAACAGACCGACAGTTCGGACTGTGAAGCATCGGCATCGATACGATAGGTGGTATGCTGAGAGGTATGCTTCTAATCTGGCAAAAGCAATTTATATAAAATAGGATGTTTGTTCAAAGTTGGAGGCCAGATGCTTGCGGCTAGCCTCATTAAATCTTGCAGGATCGCTGGTGGGTATAGGGAGGCTGTCATGGATGGTCGGAGTCGTCCTCATTGCCCTCATTTTTAAGGGGCATGACCATCATACCACCCTTCATATATAGTAGTCGGCGGAGATGAAATGTTCGATGCAGAGTCGTTATCATTTGTTCATATTTTGGAATTAAGATATGAAATGCAAATACATGTTCTGATAGCTGAATGGCATTCAGTGGGCCCTCAATACTTTAATGGTGAAACCTTTTTGGGGGGTTGATACTGGCAGGGCTGGACAACCCCGTCTAGTATGTAATGACGGTAGCAGGACAGCCCCAGGGCGCACTAACTAGCTGCTGTCCCAACTCAGCCTTGTCTGTCAAGTGATAAACAGTGTTAGTCAGCACTAATCTTCCGAGCAGCTTACACATTACCCGTGTTGAGGATATCTGTCGGGAACCTGAAGAAGTTGAATGTGTGTCCGCGCCATGTGTAGCGTGACGGTGGTCGAGGAGGAGGGGTAGAGGGGAGGGGTGTAGAGACAGTGGACTTGTTGTGGTGAAGGTTCTCTCCTTCAGCAGCTGACCACTCCACGTAATGGAGTGATCCTCGAGATGGCTCGCAGATTAGTGGGGTAAGGTCGGCATCATAAAGGCGGCGTCAGATGCTGCCTCTGAGGGTCATCTGTATAGCGTCGCTGTTCATCACGTTCTCCCAATTTACTACGTAGAAAATGCAGCCGTGTTGCCTCACCAGAAACGCGCGAGCCCAAGAAGCCTACCAAGTTGACCAGACCACACACTAGGTGATGGGACGACGACGTTTCGGTCCGTCCTGGCCCATTCTCAAGTCGATTGTGAATGGTCCAGGACGGACCGAATCGTTGTCGTCCCTTCACCTTCTAGTGTGTGGCCTGGTCAACTTACTTTAGCCACGTTATTGTGACTCGTCACAAGCCTACCAAACTTATCGAGGCGATGCATTATTGGTCAATTACGTAAAAATGGGAAGTGTATTGGGCGAGAGTTTTGGCGAATCCAAAATATTGGTGAAGAGAGCTGGAGGCGAGGCTGCGGCACAGACGCCCCATGGACCAGTATGCCTAATGAATTGTTGACAAACTGAAGTTTTCTTATGACGTCTGTAAAAGGCAGCACGGGGAGCGTGGGCTGCTTAGTGTTTAAATATTGAACATTAGTCTTTCATTGTGTTCCTGTCCTGTGTGAGCCCCCGTCTGACCTTGTGTGTGGTGCAGCTGCACGCGGGGGTGACCTGGTGTGTGGTGGTGCAGCTGCACGCGGGGGTGACCTGGTGTGTGGTGGTGCAGCTGCACGCGGGAGTGACCTGGTGTATGTTGGTGCAGCTGCACGCGGGGGTGACCTGGTGTATGTTGGTGCAGCTGCACGCGAGGATGACCTGGTGTGTATGGTGGTGCAGCTGCACGCGGGGGTGACCTGGTGTGTGGTGGTGCAGCTGCACGCGGGGGTGACCTGGCGTGTGGTGGTGCAGCTGCACGCGGGGGTGACCTGGTGTATGTTGGTGCAGCTGCACGCGAGGATGACCTGGTGTGTATGGTGGTGCAGCTGCACGCGCGGGTGACCTGGTGTGTGTGGTGGTGCAGCTGCACGCGGGGGTGACCTGGTGTGTGTGGTGGTGCAGCTGCACGCGGGGGTGACCTGGTGTGTGGTGGTGCAGCTGCACGCGGGGGTGACCTGGTGTGTGGTGGTGCAGCTGCACGCGGGGGTGACCTGGTGTGTGGTGGTGGTGGTGCAGCTGCACGCGGGGGTGACCTGGTGTGTGGTGGTGGTGGTGCAGCTGCACGCGGGGGTGACCTGGTGTGTGGTGGTGGTGCAGCTGCACGCGGGGGTGACCTGGTGTGTGGTGGTGGTGGTGGTGCAGCTGCACGCGGGGGTGACCTGGTGTGTGTGGTGGTGGTGGTGGTGCAGCTGCACGCGGGGGTGACCTGGTGTGTGGTGGTGGTGGTGCAGCTGCACGCGGGGGTGACCTGGTGTGTGGTGGTGGTGGTGCAGCTGCACGCGGGGGTGACCTGGCGCGTGTGTGTGGTGGTGCAACTGCACGCGGGGGTGACCTGGTGTGTGGTGGTGGTGGTGCAGCTGCACGCGGGGGTGACCTGGTGTGTGGTGGTGGTGGTGCAGCTGCACGCGGGGGTGACCTGGCGTGTGTGTGTGGTGGTGCAACTGCACGCGGGGGTGACCTGGTGTGTGGTGCAGCTTCTATCCCGACAATTTTCCCGACTGTTGATATGTATCAATCTATTCAGTTCTGAGAGCTGTCATTTTGATTGAACATTGACTGATTAAATGTGTATAAATTGACACATTCTATCGCTATCCAAATATGACAAGTTTTGTGTGGTTGTACAGATGGCAGGTAGAATGCCAGCATGATCTGAGGCAAGCCGCAGCTGTAATGTGTAAGGGGAAGCACATGTGAGGATGGATGCTGTGTGGAGTTGACAGGTGTGAGCACATATATACATGCCTTCCGTTCTTTCCTGCTTCCTTGACACACACACCTGTCACTTTTTCTCTAGTGTAGTGGTATTGGCGATTAAGAGTATTCCCTTGTTAAGAATGGTGATGGTATTGAAGGGATTATTAAGATTACTGTAGATAGTTTGAGTGGTATTACTTGGTCAGTGACAGGGCCTGACTTGTGAGAGCGGCCCTACAGGGCTGGGGCCAGTAGCCTCGCCTTATTTGGTAAATATTTGAAGTTCCAGCATCTGGACGCTTTTTACGTAAAATTCTCTCTCAGAAGTGACTTTGTAGTAATATATTAAAGGTTTATTTTAGTATTGATATCATTTGAACTGCAGCGAGCGTTAATGACAGAGATGGGAGGAGGATAGATGTTCTAAGCTGTGGTATAGGGCGTAGTGGAGCTTGTGACCATAAAAGACTCAACTGACCTTGGGGTCCTCCGGATAATAACTGTGTGTACCTTGCGTAACTTATAGCGACAAACGACCGATGAAACATGTTGTCATTATCAAGACCATTTTCCTTAGCCAAATTAATTTTGGGATGTAGTTTGAGGTCATAATGTTCTGTGTTTTCACCTAACACCCACAACACCGGTATGGGGTGTATAATAAAAAAATGTTGAAATAAATGATTATGTATACAGTTCTCATCCCGTGGCTGGTGGGAGGACATAGTGATGACTAAGGGAAATCTTCTGTCTTCTGCAGAAGGCAGCGTTGAACCCTCTGTGGTGTAAAATGTTGAAACCAAAGTTAAGGTAAAACTTTTTAGAAAAAAAATAAAATTGAAGACGTGGTTAAGAATAACATTACCTTTGATTTTAGTAAATGCACAAGTTTTAAGCAAGAAGCCGTGTTACATTGTTGGGAGACTGTCTAAGGGGCTTAATACACAATCAGCTCATTTACTTGGCTCTAAATTTGTGTCAGAAGCACAAGAGTGGTGGTGATCATGGGTGTGCTTGTACACATTTATGCTCACGAATTTAACCACATGTGTTCATTCCATGTCCTATACTTGTTCTCAATGTCAGTAAAGTTTTTATATAGTTTGGCATAGCTGATTTACATAATAAACCATAATTGACTTTTTTATGTTTCCAGGATAGGCAGTTATGTCATCAATCATAAAGTTGAGTATAATATCAGTAAATATTGTTTCTTTTACCAGGCGAGCAGCGGAGGAGGAGCTGGACAAGCTGGTCCGGTTGAGCCGGTCGACAGTCCAAGCCATGGAGGAAGAGGCCATTAGGAACACACAGCAAAAGGTAATTATATCATGCCTCGAGTATTCCCACCGGCCACCATACCACTTCCCTAGCATTAATATACCCCCACACAGCTTCACTGCAGGGTTATGTTTATTGCTGACAATTGTAGAGTTCTTAGTCCAGGAAATCCTAAATGAATAATCAGATATCAGCTGAGCAACACTGAATTTACGAAATCTGAATGCCGAAAAAGTTCTGAAAGTGATAATTGATAATTAACTTTGAAAAAAGTCCTTCTGGGGAAAATGGCCATGTACTCCATCTTGACTATTGTATGGTACACGATGGGCTTTGGTTAGGGTTCCATGGAGAAGTGGACCATAGGACGAGTCTTCAGCATTGTCTAGCATATTTTATTATGGGATAATATTATATTGAACTACTAATTCAGAAAGTGCTGCAAAAACTGTAAAATATAAGAAGTTGTGCCATAAATTTCCTGGCTAAAGCTTGTACTGTATTACACAAGCTATTAAAAACCTCTTTCAGAATAACGGTTCAAATCAATATTTGTAGCACCTAAGCACTTAACATGAATTCATTATCCCAGTCATTTACACAGGCAACTACTGTACTATCACACATTCAACTATTACAATTTTACTGTGAACAGCCTGCCCATTCATCATTATACATTTGTACAGTGATGCCAAAATTATCTACAACAATTGATTCCACAGCCATTTGTTGCAGCAATATATGTTTTTGTTCACTTTGTGCAGGAATTTATTGGATTTTATTGTTGTTAACAATAGAACACACATTTGTGTTTTATTTATTAAAATCACATGGAAAGTTCATTTTAATATACAAGATAAATACAGTTTTTGTTTAGTCTTTGATCTGCAAATCCTTATCAAGACACTTAATCCTGATATTAATGTGAGGTATAACTGGATCATAATCTGTCATTGTATCCAGACTTCTAATGAAATAGGTTCCATTTCTGCAAAGCTGTACCTTACAGTACTGCTTTGCTTATAAAAATAATTGCTCTATTATTTGTATAATGTTTCCTCAGAAAGAATTCAATGTTTTTTTCTTTCAGGAGCGAGATCCAACACGAGAGGCGGTTGTAAGATCTTTACAGGAAGCAACTGTAGAGATGGAAGGACACATCCTGGCCATGGAGGAGGCTGAGGCCCAGCAACAAAAGTTGTTAGTCAGCAATACAACACCTCTATCAAATGGTGCTCCATCCCCCGTTTCACCAGAAATTGGCAGTTCTAAATCACCCTTGTCATCGTCTGCATCATTGTCATCATTGTCTTCATTATCATCAAATTCTTCAGCATCATTGCCACCATCACCCCCTGCATTCACTATTTCCTCGTATGGAAATTGTCAGAACACCTCAACAAAGAAACATAATGGCTCGCCCTCGTGGGATACTGCAACTAAGCCTTCATCTATTCATGCTCCTTCCACCCTGACAGCAAAGCCTCCAATCCTAACACCAAAGCCTAACCTGATTCATACTTTTACCCACACTCCAGTACCTCATCCCCAATCTTCCACCCAGCCACTTGTGGCCACAAACACAAGTAGTAGTATTAATAGTCAAAATAGTCATGGATCATCTCCACCCTCATCTGTTTCTTCAATCACATCCACTCTGTCATCCTTCACACCTTCACCAATACCCTCATTGCCATCTCCCTCGTCTCCCAGAGCGCCTTCTCCACTGGCCATCGTAGAAAGAGATGACAATGAAAAAATACAGCAGATGCCATCACCTTCTTCAACTGTGGTAAGATTTTTTTTAGGGTCAACCCCCATTTGGTAAGCAAAATGGGTTGGTCCTAAAAATAAACCATGTGATACTCGGCTCAATATTTCTCGCATCAGATTCTCTTTCGTTTAAGACTACCGAATACTTTCACTTTAATCAGATCCTCTTTAAAATAAATACCCGATAAATATACTATACATACTGTGTATATTTTAATAATTTATGGTTATTATTATGAATACTTAATGATACTGTAATAATAATTAGTAATATTTTTGATAAATATCTGGTACATTTTCAGAATCTCTATTTATGTTTACTCTAATGTCATTTTGTTGAACAGGTTGGTGTAGCAGCACAGATCAAGCGCTTTGAGCAGTTGTCCGAGGGATCACTTGAAGCTTTGAAGACAGCCACCCTAGAGCGAGCCAAGAAACGAAGACAAAGAGAAATCTTGGAACATCTCCGCAGTCAGGTAGAAGCGGCACGCCAACAGGTTGCTGATGCAACTACCAAACAGTCTGCTGAAAAGGATGATATTGCTTGGCAAGAGCAAGGTAACAAATTTACTGAATTACAGCAGCTTTTTTTTTTTAATACAGTATGGTAGTAATAAAGTTTGTACAATATTTCTTAATTTAAGGCATTTTGGAGAAAGTGTTGAAATAAAGTGGCTGAAACATGACTGCATAAGGGTGGGCAAACAGGCAAACAAATTTTTAATTTGGCATTCAAACATTTAGAATGGGTCATCTCTCAATTATAAGGGAGTTTGTATTTTCAAGGTCTTACTGTAGATATATTGTATATCGTACAAATATACTGTATCACCATCTGCTATGTACAAATGGCTAATTAGTATATCGATTGCTATATTTATTGCAGTCATGTTGAAATTATTATTATTCTTTAACAATTTACCAACAGAACGCAAGGCAAAAGAAGCAGAAAGACGTATTAGAGAGATAGCTCGTAGAGCCCGTGAGGAGCACCGCCGTGCATCATACAACTCTCCTCCAGCCCATGCCATCAACAGAAACCTTAATGGCCTTACCCACATTACCCTTTTCAAGAATGGCATTAATGGGGTTAATGGCCACACTGGGGTTGGAGGAGACATTAATGGCAATATCAAGACTGCATCAGAAGAGTATGTTGCCTAGTAATATTTTTGTCTTGTTTTCAGTGTTGTTCATAATGTTTGGAGGTGAATTTTGTGGCTAATTTTAATGCTAATCATAAATTTGCATTCTTGTTATGATATATACAGCCAATAAATTCTGGTTCCTACAATTGGCATTATTTTTCATGTGTATTTTGAATATTATTAAACTTACTCATGAGAGAGGCATTACCTATTAGTATTTTAATACATGCATTGATAAGAAATATATAAAATGGGTGAACTAAAAGTTGATGTTCAATTTGAACTTAGCACGGAAGTGTTCATTACACCAGTGGAATAAGCTTCAGAATTAATCACTTTATTACATTGATTATTTACCTATGATGACATGCACTTGTGTAATCAGTTCTGCCCCTCGGGAGAGCAACAGGCATGGCCTTACTATGCAAAGTGAATAATTAAGTTCTGTAGTAAATTCAGTCCAAATGAACCAGTTCTAGATTTCATTGCTATTTTTACAAATGTTCAAATACTGTGCCTGGATGAACACAGGGTATGCCTGGAGTGACCTCTGGAATTCATTTAGAATTTTTACAGAAAGGCCAAATTTTTCTTGTTATAGCTATACAGTACACCATTCCCCTCCAGTAAAAATATTTAAAACGGGTGCACCATAAAAAGTGTGTAGTTGTGTGTAATGCACTCTATTGTATTTCTTGTCAGAATGCTGTCCTTCCATTGTTGTGTTTGTGGAGTGTCATTTGTAGAAACTCATTTTGCAATAAACTTTTTCATCTTTGCATTCTTATAACCTTAAGTTTGTCAACCTTCTGAAACAACATTGCAAGTCATCTCGGAATGAAGTCTGACGACAAGGCAATAACTTTTAGGGGGTTGTGACAGAAGCATATTGAATACAGTATAGTACAACCAAAGAAGGGCGTGTGTGTTTTTGATAGTTTTGTAGGCTTTTTATAATGCAGTACTTTAAAGCATATTTAACTCAAATGGATGATATATGTATGTAAATATTTATAAAAGTTAATTTTACTCTGTAACACTCTTATTAATGTTATAGCAAAAGCAATGCTAAACATATATCAAGTTAAAATTGTACAAGTTTTCAAGTGATAAATTTTTTTAAATTTAAAAAATAAACTTATAACCAAATATAATGGCTTTTATACTCATAAGAACTTAGAATACTACAGACATGAATTGATGTAATCAAATTCCTTGTGCATATTCAAAGTAGAATGTGTGTGTGAAAACTTTATTAAGACAAGAATAATAATAATAGTATACTTGAAAATTTGCATTGAGAAAGCCACCTCTACCCTCCTCTATACAGCTGTTGACACATTAAACAGTAATTAAATGAATTTTGAGAACAATGCAAAGTTTAACGCAATTCTATAAATCCAGCTGTAATTCTCATATATTCGGGTCACTGGTTATAATTTTAAAGATATTAAATTGAACAATGTAAGTCTTGGAAGCCTTACCACTTGATATGTTGAATTCATCTGCCTTGTTCCCACACTTCAATAGTGATGTCTGTTTTATCCTTCAACATTTAAATGCAGTACTGTATCTTAGTCATAAGTACAAAAATAAAAAAATGGCTACAATTTTAAATGAACAAATCCACAAGGGCTGTGATGAGGATTCGAACCTGCGTCCAGGAGCATCCCAGACACTGCCTTAATCGACTGAGCTACGACAGGGTTAAAAAGAGTTGAAACCGAAGTGTCTGGGATGCTCCCGGACGCGAGTTCGAATCCTCATCACAGCCCTTGTGGATTTGTTCATTTGATGCATCACGTTAGTGTGATCTGTGTGTAGCTACAATTTTATTTTTGGTGTGGATATACTGATACAGTACTGCTGAAAACTGTGATAATGAAGATGAACAGAGATATTCTTTGTAGTTAATAATGAGCCAACATCACCTCTGTTCTCAATGTGGTTGCAATATTGGCTGTGACCAATAGCTTCACATTATAACATTCCACAGAATCTGGCTAATCACAGACAAATTAGTGTAAATTACTGAATAGAGTATTAGTGTATGCTGCACCAAAAACCATAACCAAAATGGTTGTTATACTAACCAAGTGTTTTTTAAATGTAGTACTGTAACTTGCTAAGTAATCTCAAGCCGTGAATTGTGAAGGCAAAGTGTAGAGTAGTAACACATGCATGTGTTTTGCATGATTTATGTGATTAATCTTAACATATCTATAACTTTAACATTTATTGTAATAAGAGGAGCCAATACAAAGTTATACAAAATTTTAGTTTTCCTGTTATGCATGAGAGCATAATCAGGGAACCCAAATTTTGTAAGGATCTGTATTGGAAGTACGTGCAGTACTGTAGTAATTATGGCCTAGTTGGAAAAATCAAATACGGTACTCGATCAATATTTTGGGTCAAATAAATACTGTCGCTGTAAACAAGCCAGATTGTACATAATTATAATTGTGCGCACAGTAATGTGAACTGCCTATACCTATAGTGTAGCTTATTTAAAAATTATATGCTGTACATAAGGGAAAATCTATTGCACAGATTTTTTTCCAGAATTTCATCAGTACAAAAACTGGAATCTTCACTAAACTTTAATTTCTCCATTGCAGTATTCAAAAGCATTTAAACAATGTTCATAATAAATGTGGCAAGTTATATTATGAATAAATTTTCATTATTACCTTCTCCATAGTCAAGTGAAAGAGCAGGATACCGGGACACGTCTAATATTTGAAGCTCGGGGAGATTAGACTAGCAGGCAGATCATGATTTGCATGGCACTGGAAAACATAATTTCAGTGGATTGCAGTAAGCACTTTTAGTTTCAAAGTGCATAGGCAAATTTGGTTTATACATGGGTTTTGCATGAATTATTTGATGGTATGTGGGACTATCATGTATCTGACAGTGAGTTGGGCACCCACTAGCCACATTTAATGTTTCATAAATGTTTTAGACTATTCAATAATTGCACATCACAAGCATTCTCAATGCCATTACATTCTGTATTTGTGGCTATAAAATACAATATTAAATTAATTTTTTTTATATTGAATAATGTAGATTATGAGCATCCCTTCTTTAATTCCTCTTTGCTGGTTGCCATCAGGTCCTCTTTCATTTATATTATTGCACATATACAGCTCTCTTTGTTCTGTCCTTTCCAAATGGTGTCTGGAACCCTGGGTGTTTAAAATTTCCCTTTCATTAACTCTGAGCCTCCGTTTTGACGCACTGCTCAACCTTGGAAAATGTTCACAATGTGTCAAGACTTATTTACCAGTTTCTGCCATTTGTATAGAGTAATAGAAGCATTTTAATCTACCATTTCTAGTAGGCTCAAATATTGGCCCTGCATTCTAATATTCTTTGTAACTGTGGTTACTCCTCCATGTATGTGTGTAATATCTTAAGGTGCTAGAAATACCTGGCCAAAATGTGTGTGGCCACTTCCCCAAAAATGTTGAATGATCAGGAGCTGATCATTCAACATTTTGGCGATGAATGATCACCAAAGAAGTGGAGATATGGAAAGGTTCACACTAATGTGTGTTCTAAAATAAGCTGCAGTGTTGATTTTTTTTAACATTAAACCCCACAATATTTGAATTTCTCACAATTATAAGGAGCTTAATTGTGTAAGTGCTTCAAACTGACATATCATTTGATATGTTGTATTGCAAATGCTGTATTCGGTTACCATTTATCTACGTGGATGTGGTAACTTGTAGTAGTCTCTGATTATTTTGTATTAATATTTTTAATAATACTGTAATAATAATAATAATAATCTTATATAAAGAAATTTAAGATTACAGTAAAAATTTATGCATAGGTATTTTTAAGTTTTTCCACTACAGTACAGCAATCTCTCACAGCTGTTCAGGACGAACCTTAAGCTGCCCATTATACAATACTGTACCTCATAACCAGTTATCAGAGCACAGTACAGTACTTTTGAACATATTTGTACATAGTATACCTTTTTTTGTTGTAACAGATTCATTCATAATAACTAATTGACAGTTTTCCTCCTACGTGAGCTACATAGTCTTCCCAATTTGGCATTTTCTTTTGATACTCGTACTCAAATGCAAAGTTAGTGTTTTGTATGTACAGTAAAACATGCCATTCATGGTTTGACAAATATATTAATTTCTCTTAAATTAGCACACTGTATCCAATGATGCAAAGTGGGTCATGTTTAAACATAGAGACTTAAGACAATATTGAGGCTGTATGATGGATCATGCATGTGCCAAGGGAGTCAGGGACACAGGTTCAATCCCATTGTACTGCATAAATATTTTCTCAAGATATATACATGTATTTGTAACCTATTGTGTATAAAGGAAACTGTTCCATTTACATACCTCATGAGGTGGTTGAGATTACAGATGGATAGTTTACAGCTGTCCATGTGATTACAGTGAATACAGCTGTCCATGTGATGGACAGCCAAGCTTGCTTTGTCCACGTGATGGACAGCCAAGCTTGCTTTGTCCACGTGAAGGACAGCCAAGCTTGCTTTGTCCACGTGATGGACAGCCAAGCTTGCTTTGTCCATGTGAAGGACAGCCAAGCTTGCTTTGTCCACGTGATGGACAGCCAAGCTTGCTTTGTCCATGTGAAGGACAGCCAAGCTTGCTTTGTCCATGTGAAGGACAGCCAAGCTTGCTTTGTCCATGTGAAGGACAGCCAAGCTTGCTTTGTCCACGTGATGGACAGCCAAGCTTGCTTTGTCCATGTGAAGGACAGCCAAGCTTGCTTTGTCCACATGGACAGCCAAGCTTGCTTTGTCCATGTGAAGGACAGCCAAGCTTGCTTTGTCCACATGATGGACAGCCAAGCTTGCTTTGTCCACATGATGGACAGCCAAGCTTGCTTTGTCCACATGATGGACAGCCAAGCTTGCTTTGTACCCTGCATAACTCCATTGTCCCTTCACCCCCATCATCGTCCACACATTTATGGGGATTTTATTGGAATTTGGTGAAATTTGATGCTTCAACTCACTCTGTAGTGGATACTAAAGAGTAAAAAACCCCATAGTATAGAAGGAAGAGAAAAAAAGTCATGATAGTTAAGTTACCTAGGAAGATGTATGGTTTTGAAAAGTCTTAAAAATAGTTGTATGTAAATTACATTACTGTATATCTAATACAATAGTCATTTTAAGATATTTACATGTATAAAAATTACATGATGAATAGGTTTACAAATGTGAAATTAATGTAAACATCAAGTTAATGAGATCACCTACCCATTTACACCCAGATTGTATCAGGTGTGTGAGCTGTGATAGTTCTTAGTCTGACTATTTTACACTGTAATCACATTTAGTTTTTATCATGAAATAGAAGAATCATTTCAGAATATTTACAGGTAAAAAGGAAATGTAAACAAATAAACAGCTATATAATTAAACATGATATAACAAACATAAGACAGAACAATGCAATCATCAGTAAAGATTCATATGAAAAATAATGAGACTAAATAGTTTTACAAGATAAATTTTGTTTGTTCACATTGCGTGCTACATTTGATACTGAGGGAAATAAACAAGGTGGATGAGGACAACCTCTCTAAACCGAGAGAAAGTAAGAGAAGATGACAAATGATTACTTTGAAATACAGAATGATGAAAAAAATCCATTCCAAGACATTAAAGCCATCTCCATCAATTAATAATTAACTTAAGGCCAGATACGACAAATCATTAGTGTGTCAGGAAAGTTCGAATGAAGCACAGCAGCAGCATCAAGGAAGCCAGAAGGCAGGACATCAGAATTAGACTTCACTTTCCTGAAATCATTGTTAGTCAAGCACATTCATACAGTACAGAGTACTGATGTGTTGTTTGGCTAGCATATCTTCAGCCACATTATTGTGACTAATTGTCTGCTTCAGGTTTATTTTAATATGATTAAGATTTTCATTTTAAAATGTGCCTTGATACAGATTTGCAATATAAAAAAATATTTAAACTCTAAAGAACTAAAGGTATTCTTTTTCCCCGCAAACAGTATGAGCAACAACAACCACAACCACCAAAGCAACAGGAGCAGTGGTGATGGCAACAGTGGTAGTGTGCTTAAGAATGGACATATATCTGGATGTATGCGCCACAGACTACGTCCCCCTAAACCACCATCTCGAGCATCAATTGTGGCATGGTTTCGTGAGGAGGAGCTTCCTCGAGGAGCTGGGTTAGAGCCTTCACACCTCAAGATTGCTCCCTGGTTTCATGGTATGAATAATTTTGAGATAAACTGTTTAAGAGTAATTTATCACATCTGAAGATATAGGCAATAGTAACTGGCAGCATTCAGAATTTTAAAGATATATATATGTTAATTAGTAATATATTGTGTATTAATATATATATATAATATATATAAAAAAATTAAATAAAAATAATATATATGTGTGTAAATCACGAACATTAACACGTGATGGAAAATGTGACAGTGTCAGAACACGAAGGAGGAATTGAAACAGGAATTTCCTGTTTTTCTTCTTCAGAAGGATGAAGATATATTATTATATATGTATTATACATATAAAATATATTATAATATATTATAATAATAATAATAATACACAGTATATAAATAATCAGTCACAGCTTCCCCAAGAACTTTAAATTTGATTAACTTATTTTCTTTAAGTTTAATTGGGTAACAATAATATATGAGAAATAAGCTAACATATATGAATTGTTAGACATTTAACAACCGATATAAAAAATGTTAAGTGATATTTAATGATGAAAGGCATAGACTACCTTGTTATAGAATCTGTAGCTTTAGCAACCGTACAAATGTAGTATTTAATATACACGGTAACTGCAAATGCAAATTGACTTATTTAGAACGAGGAAATGTGAGTGAAGCTTGTTGCATGATGTTAATTACTTCACAAGTTCTCTTTTTTTTTTTAACTGGCTAAGAGAAGTACTGTATAGAATTTGGTGTTAGAACCTATGCGAACCCTCATCACGGCTCCTATGGAATTTCTCAATAATAATAATATAAAACATCTTAATTTTCTTTTTATCCCAACAGGTATTATCAGCCGTACAGAGGCAGAAGAAGTTTTAGCTGGAGCGGCTGTTGGATGTTTCCTCGTGAGAGTGAGTGAACGTATCTGGGGGTATGCCATATCATACAGAGCTGCTGACCGCTGCCGACACTATCTCATAGATGTTACAGGAGGAAAATACACATTCTTTGGTTCACACCAAGCATCTCATGAGACCCTTAGTAAGTATGAATACAGTACATTTATTTAACATTGTATCTCCAGTAAAGTTAGTTTGGTTCATTTATTATGCACCCCATACCCATCTTGTGGGCAGTAGTGGAAAGGGTTGCAGAGGCACATAATGGTCTCAGGGACTGAACCCCACAATTCATTTAGCTAAGCAAGTTACAATCTTGATGAGCTAGTTACAAAATTCAATGCACGTCGTCACATCAACAATGGGCTCGAGACTGACCACAAGTACAGGTCCTAAATTAAGCAACTGACATATGTGGAGAGCTAGTGTGGGGAAATTAACATAATGTTACATGAGAACAAAAGCGATGTACTGTATTCCAGACACTTGACAATATCCACATTTTCTCACACCTTTCAAATGTCTGCCTGAACATTATTTTTGTGTACTCCTGCCAATCTCCCTCCCGCCCCCCCCCCCCCTACACACACACACACAACTGTGTAGTTTACAAAAGTAGATTTCTAACCAGTACAGTAATGTAGATAAAATTAAACATTACATTCATGGTGGTTTTTTGGAATGCAGGAGACTGTGTAGAATGCTTTGAAAGTTCCATGATTTAAGAAAAGTATGTAAAACATGCAAATTCCACTACAATTCTCACCAAGAAAAGCTTGGCAAATTTTAGTGAGGAATACCTATTGTGTGTAAAGGTAAATGTTCACTTTCTCAGCTTACATACAGTGTGCACTTACTGTACAGTTACTGTACAGTACATCCTCTGCTACTCTCAGCTGAAGCCCTTATATTAAAAGAACCTTGTTCCAACAGGTGATCTTGTAGAGTACCACAAAAAAGAAGCCATTACTACCACAGGCGGAGAGCTTCTGACCCGTCCCTGTGGCCAGCCTAACCCAAGGAGACCTGACTACTTGGATCTATTTTCAGGAACTCACTACTTGACATTCTAGTTTCTACAACAAATCATGAATTAATACTGCACCTGTACAAATAATTTTATAAGGAAATTAGATGGAAGCTGTATTTTTTTTTATTTACACTTCCAGCATTAGCTATCCTGTGGACATAAAATTTTGTATAATGTCTCATGTATGTGCTAAAGGTTAATCCTGCCATGTGGTATAATGGTGATGCTGGGGACTACTGTATATATCATAGAAACTCTGCTCTGTGAACATGATTTTCTTGGTCCTGTTATTGCTAAAATCTAGTAATGAATTATATATTTCATAATTAATCATTATACAGTGAGTTTGTTGTACATAAGAGTTTATTTAAGTCTGAGAATATAATATAATAGTCTTAATAATTGTAAACCCTCATAATTATATTTGTAGGATATACATGTTATTTACTCTTTTCCCCTGAAAAATAATAATGAAATTTCCTGCACTTGTGATACAATAAAAATGTACTTCTGTAAATATAATAAAATTAAAGCATAACCAAATACTGTATGTATAGTCATTTCTTTATCCTACAAAGTGTAGGAAATGTGAATGTTAGTGGACATAAATGCTGTGGAAATATGGTGACACAGAAACACACTGTGTATTTTGTGTGTGTGTGTGTGTGTGTGTGTGTGTGTGTGTGTGTGTATGAGAGAGAGAGAGCATGTAATAAGGCACTAGGAGTGTGTATAAAAAAATCAAAGGTTTATTTCCATTTTATTATTTTTAAATTAACAAAAACGCATACTGTATAGCTCATATTTGTCTCACAATGTATAAACCTAGAAAATGACTTAGTTACCAAGAATTATGAGTAAAAGAAAATTCTGTTAGCCTCACTCCAACACCTCCATTTGGACTATTGTATCCAAACATGGGGATCTTGAAAAAGGACATACCTGTACTGTACTTTTATCTGCTTATGCAAAAGTTCAACACTGGGTTGATATAGTTCAAAACTATATCTGACATGTTGTAAGGGCCTTCCCCTCGTCCCATCCCAAATCCTAATCCTGACTCCTTCCAAGTGCTATATAATCGTAATGGTTTGGCACTTTCTCCTGATAGTTCCCTTCCCAGAAATTTCACATACAGTACTATACTACATATTTGGCAGCAAACTATACTACGTATTTGGCAGCAAAAGATATCTGCGGAGAAACAAATGTGGTTATCATTCCCTGGGTCACTAGCGGAGCAGTTTGATTCCCTGCCAAGATGCTGACAGTATGCAGATAGGGTTGTATACCAGGACCTAGATTCAGGAAGCTCTGTGTATTTCTTCGTAAGTGGGTTTGCTACGAAGGTTCCTAAGTGCGCCCTAAGAAGATGCTTAGGTGCGATTCAATAAGGTATACTTAGGAAGAAAATTGTTGGTTCACCTGCGTGCCGATAGAGGTCACTACTGTGTTTCGTTTGGCCAATCAGAGAGCAGCAACATTCTTCATATTAAAGATTTAGCGCTGGCTTATCGGAGCTCTACTGCCTCCTATTTACGTCGAATTTTCTTATAAAATTAGTATATTTCGAAGTAAAACAATGTTTTTTCAACTTCTACAGCCAGCACCGACATTGTAGTAAACAAATATGTTACATTTGTTGTTTACCTACGTAATTCTAAGAGATACTGTGTAGCTGTCCTTGTTGCTCGGAAGATGCGCTGACAATTATTGTATATATTTACTGAATTTATGGGTTTATAGTCTTCTTGGTGGAAAAAAAACATCTGTTTTCAGTCCTACTTGAGAGTACGTACTCTCCAACACTATATCTGTGATTGTCCTGTTATCAGTGACTTCATACCAAATGGTATGAGGTATTTTGAGCTCTGTAATTACTTCATACACTCAGGAATATTGGAAGATATTCTTGTGCTGCACCCAGATTTTGCCAGTGGAGGCTAATAGATCAGCATTAAGTATTTTGTTCTCTCCTAATTCCATGTATGACTGGCCATCCTGTGAGGTGAGGATGTTGGGTGAGCTTGTAGCTGGTTTTTGATCTACACTGTGTGGTCCTTTATACAGAATAGGGAAGCAGCACATTGCTGTGTATACCTAAACATGTTTAAAAATACATTGTTTGAGAGGAGTTTTGTAGAAACTGGTAAGAGTAATTATAATATAATGTTTCCATGATTCAGTGCTTACCTCTTGTGAAAATTGCTTAGAGTTGTTTAGTCAGAGTTGATTTGTTTTTTGTATTGAGGCTGGTATTTTCTAAATTGATTCCATGTACAGTATGTCTAACCATCCTGTGAGATGGGAGTATTAGATAAATTTATAGCTAGTTTTTTATCTACACTGTGTAATATTCCATATAGACTAGGGTAGCAGCACATTGCTGTGTATACCTAATCTTCTTAATAAAAAAAAATCAGTAATAAAGATTTTAAATTATAGTTTGTATTACAAATACAGTACTGTATTATCCTTATTAAATCATGTTGACCATGGATCATTAAGATCTCATGTTGATATGTAATACAAGTCATATTTCTTTTTGAACTGCTAATCCATGCTAATCATTCATTAAATTGTGCATTATGTCTCAATTTTTCACTTCCTTCGATATACTGTACAGTACAAAAAGATAGGATAAAAATAAACCAGTAATATTTTTCATTTAAATAACTGCATCAATATTTTTACAGCTGACAGGATTTGTTTTCCCATACAGGTGCATTAATTGTTAAAAAAAAATTTGGTTTATTGTTACACACAATGGTGCTACATAGCCTTCCCAGCTTGGTGCCTTCTTTTAATACTTACTGATTAAAAAATAAATAATAAATACATTTTATTCAGGAAAAGTACATACAGTTGATTTACAAACATAATGATGGATTTATAGGCAGAGCTAGTACATACAATACCTAAAGCCACTATTAATACTCATAGCATTTCGGGCAAGGTGTGGGGGAAAAAAAACACAGACTAAAACTTAATAGTAATCGGGATTAGGTATAAATTGTGTTGAAAGAAGGAATAAAAAATACAAAAAGGGGGTTAACATAGCATAAATCAGCAATTGCACATGTTGGTGAACAGCGTTGTTTAAAAAATAGCAAGACATGGGTTGACATTTAGGAGGTAAGTTAGGTTACATGGAGTTAATTTGGCAGTACTTGGTTTAACTCTTAAACTGGTTGAGAGAGGTACAGCCTTTGACATGATTCGGAAGGTCATTCCACATTCTGGGTCCCTTGATTTGTAGAGCACTTCTAGTTTGGTTACACACAGCCAAATTGAGTAACAGGAAGAGGTCTTGGACACAAATTTGTTCCATGCTAAATGTAGAGGAATCAGCCGAGTATTCCTCAAATAAAATAAGTTGCCTCAGCTTATAAGGTAAATAAAATAAGCATTTCTCAAATAAGTAGCTGCCTCACCTCACTGCCTTACTGCTACATAGCCTTCCCGGCATGGTGCCTTCTTTTGATAATTACTTGTTCCACACCCAAATTGTATAACAGGAAGAGGTCTTGGACCCCTACTTCCCTCTCTTTTTTTTTTAATAATCTATATAGTCATAATTATAGCTTTAAGTATTCAATGAATAAAGTTTTTGACATTTTTACCCTTTTCCTTACCTAACATCATTTGTGCAGCATATTTTTATTTTATGTCTCACCCAGATTTAATTTCAAAATAAAACCAAACTAAATAAATTAGAAATGGGTATGTATAGCTAAGGTACACCCTTACTACTAGGTGAACAGGCGCATTTGGTGATAGTAAATGATCCCATCAGGCAGGGCTCATCACCTTCTCTCATATTTCATGTTCACCAGTGTTTATTTACTTAATAACTACTGGTATAATATCTTGCTATTATAAAACTAATTCTACTATCATCAAACACACATTTACTTCAAGTTTCAAGCAGAGAATGCATATATAACTAACACGAAGGATTCCTCTTCACTAGATTCACCAGCTATAATATTTTGGTCATGTTCCAATATCATAAATCGATCCCAGTGTTATGTAGTAGAGAAAAAATTACTTATATCCAGTTTACGTAAAGCTACGAGTGGTCGAAACCACACTTAAATCGAGGAATGAACTTACGAAGGTTTTTCCACTTAGGGTAGTTAATTGAATACGGACGTAGCCGCCACGAAGGCGCTAAGACGGAAAACGCTCTTAGCTAAGAGGAAAAACCTTCGTAAGTACCTTCCTGAATCCGGCCCCAGGTCGTGTAACTTTTTGCACATCCTAGTCCATGGGTTAAGGTGCACATCTGTGGTTATCCACAACATTGGTTCGATCGTGCTGTCCTGCTCTAAAGATTATATCATTGATTTATCACATTGTGTACAATATCTTTATACATTTAATATTTTTTATGTTCGACATACAATACTGTGGTGTAAATACTTTCTAATGAAAGGATTCTAAATGGGAAATTGTAAACAACGCCACACCTTAGGGATGGCATGTGACTGAAAGCTTTATTGTACAGATTTTAATGGACAACAAGATCCACAGCATTCACCCTTTATTTGTGCACATGATAGGACATACATTTGTGCATAATTTGATGCAGAAATCCCATGGAAAAAGCACTGTTTGAATTTTTTAGTAATATTAATTTAAAATTATCAGTCTTGGAGGAATTCTGCATTATCTAGATTCCAAATTCATTGTACAGGTCACTGGCTAGATTAAAATCCCTATCTTGGACCAGGTTCCCATGTAGTACAAAATCCACTGAATTTATATTCAATATAGTATTGTATAGTGAATATTCTTTGCTTGAGGCAGTGAGCCCAACCACCTTACTGATACATCTCAGCGTAATACTGTAATGGGAAGGAGAGATACTGTATACAGTATAGTAACGGGAGGAACACGCAGTCAACAAGGTAGTACCGATAAAATCCTGATATACCATATAATTCAACATGACAAATGCACTATTGAAAGGAGAAGATAATTATATATTATGGTAAAAGGTTTACTATGAAATACAAAAGTACATATTTAACAATAATACATATGGCCTGCATTAATATATATTTTATACACTAAGTATAGTACTGTATAAACTGTTATACATACTGTACTTACAACCTGTAACTATATTTTAGAAATTCTAAATTCTGATACAGTCAAAATAAGAAATTAAGGAATGATATGTTTCCTTTGTAACCATAAAACAACAACTTTGCATAACTAAGCAAAATGGAAGAGGAGGCAGTCCTAAAAGAGGAATTAACAATTTACTGTAGAATCTGTCTTTATCCCCATGAACGCCCCTCTGATGGAGTAACCACAACTGAAACCTATTCAGGTAGCCCTATCTTAACATGCTCTTCTGATTTGTCCTCTTTCCTTTATGTCTAAGAATTATTAGCCAGCAGTAACTGGTTGGAGTTAATGTAATTTCATGATCAAAAAGATATTATGCAGTTGATGTCACCTCGAAGAAAACTATAAAATCAGTGCTAGTGACTGATAACTTTGCCTGTCATCCGATCAGGTGACAGCCTGGCTCTACTGAATGGACAGTACTGTACTGTACTCCAAAAGTCTCCCTTCCCCCATACTGACTGCCTACCATTCCACTCCCAATTCCCTTTCACTCTTCTATTTCTAACGTGGTGATCAAGTCTTCCTTTTATGTCTAATATGGAGGCTATCTACTGTACTAATGTGGTTGTCACTCGAGGATCAACTCGTATGGTACTTCATATTCCAGGATATTTCAAGCTTTGACCTTCATGCTATTGCCTTTTACACTGACATGAATGACATGATAATGTTATGGGACAATACAAATTTGTCCATTTGTTAAAGAAAAAAAAAGACAAGCTGCTTACAAGAAACTTTTGGATGGGAAGTATAACACAAGAATTATATAGTGCAGGCTACACAAATTAAAAGATTAACAAACCAAGCCATTTTGTAACTCATGCACATCATCAAATGTTGGCACTGTTCCATATTGCACATCATAATACAAACCTGGCACCATTAGCTAGTTTATTAAAACTAAAATTGTCACTGTATTCAGCAGTACAATTTTAATACAAGTATGGTGAGGCAATTATACATTTCCATTCAACCAAAAACAATCGATAATATAGAACTGTTTATATATTGGACCATGGAGGTGTCATTGGCTGTGGGTTTTGAAGGTAGGACATCACAACTGCAGAAATGGACAACCTGAAATGTAATATAATTAGTAAATTATTTGTGACAAGCAAATAAAAGTATATTTGTTTAATTATGATAATTTACTTTGAAAATCAGAACTATTAGCCAGTAACAATGGGTTGGATTAATGTAATTTAAATTACATTCAATAACAAAAGACAATTATGCAAGTGTTGTCACCCTTAGGAAAATCATGAAGTCAATGCTATAGTGACTGACAAGTAAGCTCAGAAACTACTGACAGGGCTCTCCCAAAAATAACAAATCAGAGCAAGAGAGATTGTTGAAACACAGGGAATACAGAGGACATACTCAGCACACAAACACAATAAAGTACATAAATTATTGGGACCATTTGAAGCTCCCAAAATGTACTCTGGAAAGGAGACAAGAGAGGTATCATGTACTGTATACATGGACTGAACTCCAGGTCCAAAATTTGCACAGTATTATAACATAGTGGAGCGAACAATATGGTAGGAAATGCAGAATAGGTGCAAGTGAAGAAAAAATGTGCCACAGAAACAGTCATAGAACACTGTATGAATATCCAGGTCCAAAATTTGCACAATATTATAACAGATGCTATACCGATGATGATACTTTTCAAAACGCTTGTGCTCTCTAGAGTGGAGTACTGCTGCACAATGACAGCCCCTTTCAAAGCTGGAGAAATTGCTGACCTGGAGAGTGTGCAGAGATCCTTTACTGCTAGAATCCACTCAGTAAAACATCTAAACTATTGGGACCGACTAAAGAGCCTAAATCTGTACTCCCTTGAGCGCAGGCGGGAGAGATACATAATAATTTACACGTGGAAAATATTAGAGGGGCTGGTCCAAACCTGCACACAGAAATAACATCACATGAGACCAGAAGACATGGAAGGATGTGCAGAATACCCCCGTTGAAAAGCGGAGGTGCAACAAGTACTCCGAGAGAGAACTATCAACATCAGAGGCCCGAGACTGTTCAACACGCTTCCGCTACACATAAGGGGCAAAACTGGCCGACCCCTCACAGTGTTCAAGAGAGAACTGGATAAGCACCTCCAAAGGATACCTGATCAACCAGGCTGTGACTCATACGTCAGGCTGCGAGCAGCCGCGTCCAACAGCCTGGTTGATCAGTTCAGCAACCAAGAGGCCTGGTCGACGACCGGGACGCGGGGACGCTAAGCCCCGGAAGCACCTCAAGGTAACCTCAAGGTAAGGTAAGGTAGTGGAGCGAACAATATGGTAGGAAATGCAGAATAGCGCAAGTGAAGAATAAAGGTGCCACAGGAACAATCATAGAACACTGTATGAATATCAAAGGACCACGGCTCCTTAATATCCTCACAGCAAATAAAATAAGTATGGCTGGAACAAAAGTATTTCTTCAAGAAAAAATTAGAGTTTCCTGCAAGAAGTGCTGGACTAACTAGATTGTAAGTGGGAATATGGCCCTGCAGGCCACTCCAAGCAACAGTCTACTGGACCAAGATCTTGCACGTCATGCCTGGCCCAGGCCAGGCTTGGAGAAAAGAAATCCCAGAACCCCCTTATCCAGGTACAAATCCAGATCCAGGTAATGAAATGCCCTTTTCAGGCATGTAGTCAATCGCTCACCTCCCAGTCCTGTTCTCTTCCTTATAGAATATTTGGGGGTTCCATTTGGCTCAACGAGCGGGGATGGCAGGCTAGCTGGGACTTTAGGTGACCTGACCCACCATATGATGGTGGTCAGGCACATCATGGTTCAACCTGTCCTCTTGAAAATAACGTCGCTTTTCGTTCGAATGCATGCTATATCCAAAAATGAACGTAATTTGAAATGAAATTGGCTCACGAAAGTGACATACTGTCGCATTTTCTCTAAGTCCTCTGGCTTACTTGGAAAGGTTAGGAGAGGAAACTTTCATTTAACGTTTTTCATAGCTTTTGAAACTTGAGGACAATTTCCTGCCCTCCTAACCTACGAGAGGACCCTTAACTTACTGTTTTGAAACAAAATCCAAAATTTATTTTAATTTTTTTATTTTTAAATTACGTCCATTTTCGGCCATATGGGCAAACGACCAAATTCAGACGTAATTTGTAAGAGGACAGGTTGCAGTTAGGGTATTTACCCCGTCGCAATGTTTATTTGCCTTAGTACACCAGGTTTTGGCCTTGTGTAAAGTAAAGTATATGTTAAAATGTGACATGCTATGAGGACAGGTTGTACCTTTATGGGTTTAGTAATATACAAATTTCAGAAGAAAACAAGATAAACCTTACATGAAGCTGCTGAGCATTTGTTTCGTATCGTCATTGACTCTCGAGTTGGCAAAGCTGATGCAGGAGCAGTATAGCGCAACCCAAGCACACCACTTCAACTGCAAGTAAGAAATAATGAGTTCACTATAGAGTATCATTTATAACAACAATGTCTAAAATTTCTATAATCATAGTTTTAATAATACAGTATTTGGAGGATTAAAATTCATAAAGTGAGTAGAAATCACATTCCTCAATATAAGTATTATAAGATTAAAACCCTAAATAAGAAAATGATCCAAGATAAAGTCTGATATTATTTACTTAAACATGTACTGTACTATATATGTGAAAATTAAGCATTGAATACTGTATAATTAAACATCTTTTTCTGGTAGGCCCTTGATTTACCCATCTTCCACCAGATGACAGCCCTGAGGTTACCTGAGGTTTCAATCAACTTGCCTAAAAGGTCAACACTTCAAAAACGAAGGGTGAACAGGAGCACTGTCCAGAGCGAACGATGCACTAGAACCCCTACCCCAGCCAGGAACCAGGAGATATGGATCTACACATGGCCCAAAGCTGGATCCGAAGAACTCAACTGAAGCAGACTGAGGCTAAAATACTGCACTGCCAGCTATCAAAGATTGATCTACCTTCCCTTCCCGCCCAACCACTTGGGCTAGACAGTAGAGCGAAGGCCCATTTTTTTGCAAGCCGGTTTTCAATCCCCGACTGTCCAAGTGGTTGGGCACAATTTCGTCCCCATGTCCCATCAAAAATCCTTATATTGATCCCTTCCAAATGCTATATAGTTATAATGATTTAGTGATTTCTCCTAATAATTCCCTTCCCTTCCCTTTCCCTCCAGAAAGTAGAAAGGGTGTAAAAAGAGAGGCAAACCGCAAGGAATACAACTAAGAAGATTCCTGATGATCTAGAACTGCACGCTGGAAAGCACGACAGGCCGCATATAGTGTAAATATGCAACCACATCCCACAGCAGCAGCTCAAACAACTAGAGCAATGCTATCAAGGCAATCTTTGAAGACAACACAAATGGTGAAACCAGCTGGGAAGAACCCTGCTCTAAACATAATTACACCTGATCAACCAGGCTGTGACTCATACGTCAGGCTGCGAGCAGCCGCATCCAACAGCCTGGTTGATCAGTCCGGCAACCTGGAGGCCTGGTCGACGACCGGGCCGCGGGGACGCTAAGCCCCGGAAGCACCTCAAGGTAACACTGAGAAGAGCTCCAGAGTTGCACAAAAATGGAGACCCTATGCCAAATGGATCTAAAATTTGTGGTCCAACATTATCTATTACAGTATGTACTTCTCATTTTGACAATGGCATATGATAGAGCAATCATTGGCAAACAATTCCATTTAAAAATCATAATTACAGTATATGACAATTATTGGTGGTCCCAACATAACATAATGACCAGGATTTACACAAACTCAACCATTCTTGACAAATCCCAGTAAATTGAGGGTACCAGTAGTATAGTCGAGTTCGTTCTTGACTCGCAATCTAGAATTCTGGGTTCAAATCCCAGGCAAGATAGAAATGGTGGGTGTGTATCCTATCACCTAATGTACCTGTTCACCTAGCAGGAAATAGGTACCCAAAAGTCAGTCAGCTTATTGTGGGGTTGCATACTGGGGAGGGTCAGTAATTAGACCCTAGGGATAGGGGGGAAAGGGGGGGGGGGGAACCTGGATACAAACCTAACATGTACTGTATGTATAACCTGGCTGCCAGTCCTCCAACACAATGAATTATTATTATTAATAAATTATTCGCAAAAAATTCTTTTATGATGCGTCTTGATTATGGCATATGATACTGATCACGGATAATTTGGTATTAAAATTAGATGTACACACACACAACTTTATTGAAACCAAACATTCAAAAGGAGAGAACTTTTTCACCAAGCTTGAGAGAGGAAATGAGGAAGGGATAGTCTCACACCCTCCCTCCCTCTTCCCCCATGCCCAGCATTCAGCCGACTGCTGTTGCTTTGTCACACTTTTGGCTCACTTCACGCTCATGCCATAAATTTTTCAGTAAAGTGAAAATGTATTTTGACTTAATTACAATCTTCGGCACAATAATTACCGAATAATGGACATCCATGTTAGTCACAAGGGTTGAGTTGACGGTTCTCCAACCTCCTATCAATTAAAAAACTAGAAAGATCAGACCTATGTGACAGGTATTGAAGTATTATTAGTGTGACTCCAACTGTACACACAGAAGATGATGCAAGGCACCAACATGGCACACGAGTCAGAATCAGACATAACACACACTAAAATACCCAGCAACAGGCCTGGCCACGTGGACCGAGTCCCAAGCAGTACTGATGTAATGGCAACTCAAAAGGAGAAGCCCTGACTAGGACAACACCCAGAATCTTGAAAAATATTACTGGTGGGAATGGGTAATACAAACTAGCTACAAGGCAGAGAGTTGAGAAACTAAATCAGAATGAATGAACAGCTAAGGGCACACAAGATGGGTGCCTTAAACTGACAAGTGAAGCATGAATATAAACAATACAAAAAGCATGGCTCCCACAGAAAATGTTCCCATGAATGCCAACATCACTTACATACAATATACAGTAGTTCATAAAATATGAGTTGAAAACAAAAAAAACTGAGCAAGCTAGTGCCAGGATGAATAGGGATGATAGTGGTAGACAATAGGGATGATACCGTGGGCTTCAGAACAGACCCTATAATGCCAGAAACCCAAAACTTACTCTCATCATTAGACCACACATGCTGAAGATCATGCCTAGTACATTCATGTAGTCAGTAGTTGGATCTTCACCAGGGGCCCCGCTGATGGTTTGTACCTGTCAATGGTCAAATTACATTATATTGCAGTTGGTATGTATAAAAATGTAATATTAATGTATTATTATTATTACTGTATCAGTAAGGTGTTATTGATCAAATAAGTAACATTAAAGCATGAGTGAGAAGGCAAATAAAATGAATTCAATAAACACAGGTTTTATAATTCTCTTTGCAAGAAGTGATTAGTTATGGAAAATCAGGAGGGAAGATGAGAGAACATATTACAAATACAAACAACAATGAAGTTCAATAATTACTGTACACAAACCCTCACAAAAGTAACATTTGAAAAAAAAAAAAATACAGCACTGAATGTAATGAAACACCATTTTCTGGGTGAGCCCAGAGGCTCCCTGGAGCCTACAAGGCTCTCCACAGAAAAGATTTTGAAAAGTTTTTTACTTGTATCGTACTTAAGTATGATTTCCCATTGGGACAAAGCCAGTTAGGTTTATCAAGGTCCCCTCTAGGCCAACTACTAGTCTTTCCCAAGATGCAACCAACAATAGTTGCCCAACTCCTAGGTACTTATTTACCGCTAGGTGAAGACAGGCATCGGGCAAAAGCAAACGTGCCAAACGTCCCTGTCCTGCGGCAGAAATCAATCCCGAACGTTTCAATTGCGAGCTGACTGTGTTGACCACTACACTACAGTATTTTGAGGTTATCTTGAGACGATTTCGGGGCTTAGCGTCCCCGTGGCC